TGTTGAGCAGTAACACACTGGCGACTGAAATGGATGGAGCTACGAGACCCGCCTACCCACAAGGTCCTAACGACTATCAATACATGTAACTTTAAGATTATTCTGAACATAATAGTTCACATTTAAACAATCCTAATTGCTAGATTATCAGTATTTTCAATATTATTATTCTTGCCGATTATGAAATAAAATCGTGCCTTTTGACTATTATTTGTTATTATTATTTTGTTAACCGGACAACACACAGTGGGAGAAAGCACGAAAAAGCTGGATCCTGAAAAGTGTCAAACTCAACTAAATTTAAATTGACGGAAATTAAAGAATACGCAAAAAGTGCGAATAATCTAAAAAATAAAAAAAGTGAATTGAAATTGGAAGGAGGCAAAAAATAATTGATATAGAAACCCAGTGGGAATTAGGAGCACGTAATAATACCTTATTAGCAACTTACTCTTCACCTGGCAGTCATTACCATTTCCCTGCCGAACGTCCCTTACTTTTACAAAGGCATGGCCGCCTTATGTAAGTAGGAATTTAGAATGTACATTTGGTATCAGACATACTTCTGAGCCGCTTTACAAAGTAAGTTACGTGTAATGCAGAGCAGTCGCTCGGAGTAGTTCGGTGCTTGGAAATAACTTCGGCTGCACGTTATTTTGCAACTGACAACGTAATGTGTCTTCGGAGGTGTTCATTTTGCCCTTTACTAGTAGATGACATTGGCCGTGATGACAATTTTGGTACTAAAAACTGAAAGAAAACATGGCTTACCTCGCAAGGTGCTTACCTATTTTCCCAGTGGGAAGTGTTTATTGTGCTTGTGCTTGTGTGAATATGTTTTGTACATACATCTCCATTCTTATTTGAAGTTAGTTTTGTTGTTGCCATTCTTTGGACTAAAAATTTGCTTTTTTGCGTTCCTTTACTTTTCCTGTTATTCTCTTTTACAGTAGCTACACACGACGAGCATATCCGCGCACATGCGCGGCTTGCGGGTCATGCTCGTCGTTTGTAGCGGGGTTTGCGAGCATCGCATTGGAAACAAAAACTCACTTTAGGAGCGTTCCTTATCTCCCAGAAATAGTCAGAAAAAGTCCGAAGTAGTCAGATTTAGTCCAAAAAGCGTTCCTTAACTCACAAATGACAGCAAAAATGAGAGAGCAACACTCGGTGAGAGTGACTCTCATCAGTCCGAAGTAGCCAGATTTAGTCAGAAGAATTTTTTCTGGCAAAATCCTGAAAAGTGTCAAACTCGACTGAATTTAAATTAACGGAAATTAAAGAATACGCAAGAAGTGAGAATAATCTAAAAAGTAAAAAAAGTGAATTGAAATTGGAAGGAGGCAAAAAAAAATTGATATAGAAAGTGTTTATTGTGCTTGTGTGAAGGTGTTTTGTACATACATTTACATTCTTATTTGACGTTAGCTTTGTTGTTGCCCTTCTTTGGACTAAAAATTTGGTTTTTTGCGTTCCTTTACTTTTCTCGTTATTCTCTTTTAGTGAGCGCATTTTGCTTACGCTCTGTCATTTTGACACTTTTCAGATTTTAGTCCAAAAAGATAAGGAATGAACCTTTTGTGTTGATGCTTGAAGTGTGCACATCGGCGGATAAATGCATCCAAGCCATATGTGTTAATTGACTTTTTGATAAATGAGGCTAATTTACTATATGTATATGTATGTACATACATATAAGTAAAATATAAATAAATTTAAGTAACACATACATAAAAAACCCTAAGTCATAAGTATTTCAATTGCATCATCCGCGTCTTTCCTTTCCATGTTTACACTTTGAGTACAAAATCACTTATGAGCCGCTCGCCGTCTGTAGCAAACGACAGCCAGCATGTTGGCGCACATGTGCGCGGATATGCTCGTCGTGTGTAGCTACTGTTACGCTCTGGCATTTTGACACTTCAGATTTTAGTCCAAAAAGATAATAGCCCGAACACAATGAAAACGACGAGATACAAACCACAGCTGTCAAATTATTTTAACACGTACTCTTATGTAGATAATTATTTTGGCGACGACCGGGCTACGCGACGGCTGTGGTTGTGGCCAGATTAGATCTATTTCTATTTTTCTGGCGACAGATAAGGTTCTTCCTCTTCTTTTATGTCAAACTCATACAAATTCATGATGTCGTTGCCGCGTTCAAAGAAATCATGTCGCCATCGAAAAAGCGCTTAGATAATAAAGATGACAAATTGGAAGCTGTGGTCGGTAGCTCGTCGTTTTCAATGTGTTCAGAACTTAAGAAGTACCGCGGCGAAAATCTAAATTCGCCATCAACACCACCAAGGCGAATTTATACAAGTGGTGTTGATGGCGAATTAAATTTTCGCCGCGGTACTACTGAATGTCGAAGTCACAGTATACAGTAATCCAGATAGCCAAAACAAAAAATGTAAATATGCTTATTTGACATTTTGTTTGAATGTATTGGTTGATATTTTTTCACAGTTGTCGTTTTCGTTAACCCAAATGAAATCAAAATTAAATATTTTCTTATAGTGAAAAATATTTTCAAGTCACATAAAATAAAATAACGAGAAAAACCAAATTCCAAGCAAACCAAGCGTGAAGCGTAAGCGATTATGACCGCATGTAGTTCCTACATAAGTCAAACCGTGTTCCGAACACAACTTTGAGTGAATAATGGTGGGCTGACCTTGTAAAATGGTCCCATCGATTAGGCGGTAAAACAAGCATTACTTAGCTTATTTTGGAATGTACAAAATTTGTATGTATTTCTTCAGCCGCTTATTCACATTTGAAAGAGGATAATGCATGAATTAATGCAAGTAAAGACGGTTTATGCAGATAAGCAAGCGCGTTTGTTAACCGTATAAAATGTATGTACATATATACACTTATGCATACATATATATCAAAATATTCAGAATGACGAGATGAATTGGTCCAGGCCTCTCTGTTTGTAAACACGCTAACTTGAACAAAATTTCGATATTTTAACGAAAGTCGGTGTCGAAGTTGCCTTTGGTATAATTTAGGTTAGTGTTAAATTTTGGCGAAATCTGCCAATAACCACGAACACCTCCCACGTAGTAATTAAAATATTTTTGTTTTATTATTTTTGTTTACGAATTTTGCTGTTCAAATTTACATTTCAAATATGTCAACCAACATTTGTGGGTACTCTTACATCAGTCGCTGCCTATGAGTTAATGACAAAAAAATCCTATACATTCACAATATTTCATGTATTAATTTTCAAATAAGCATATTGTCAATGGCTGGTTTACTGTATACTGTGGTCGAAGTGATGTGTTTGTTGTAAACAAGGCGAATGCCGCCAAGCGAACTTCGCATTTCGCTTTGGCTGTGTTCAATTTCATGTGCTTGCGGGTGTTCTAATTTTGACAGCGCGAATTTCGCTGTGGTGAGTTCGCCGTTCGCCGGCATTGTATTTCAGCTATTAGCCGTTTTGTTTACATTTGTTCGTTGTTTACAATTTGGTGGTGGCTTTTTGCTGCAATTTTCTTAATTTTCGCTTATGACAACGTGCATATGTTAGTGTTTGGCCGAGCTTCTCCTCCGATTTGTGGCGTGCGCCTTGATGTTGTCACACAAAGCGGAGGGACC